TTTATAAAGTAAATGCCTAAACATTTAGTTATGAATATTACAGACTGGAAAAGTAAGAATATTCTATGTTTTCAGTATGAATGTAAGGAAATAATATAAATAAGATTAAATTTTCCTGAAATTACGCATTCTCAACCGCTTAGTTTGCAGTAAATAAGAGAAACAAAGAATCTGACTCAAACACAGAACTTTGGTAATAAGAAAATTTAACATTCATTCGTTTTAACAGAGAAATTAATTCATCATACTACTGAAACGATCAAAGCCAAATTTTAAAGAAAACTCAACTGCAAACGAAAAGCAGTTATAACACCTAAAATTGGTTTCAGCTACATGTATTTTCCTTAAATAATTAACTTTAATCTGGTGATTAACATGTCACTAAATGATAATCATCCAAATGACGGTTGAAGATTTCCTTACGTAAAATTAGTGAGATGACTTATAATGTGGCCTGTGTTTATCAAAAAATGAACTGAAAACGAAAACCACGTGTTTCTTTGTGACTAAATTACTTTTATTTTTGTCTAATATTTATTATCTTTACAAATTATTCCAACTTTGTTGAATTACAACAGCTTGAAACTGAAAAAAAATGTAGAAGTAAATTTTAAATTAACGAGTTGCAATTAATTAGTGTTACAGAATGTATAAGATTTCTCTTTCTCTGCCTTGGTATGATTGTTGCTGTTATGAAACAAATTAACAAAATCAATCTTCTATGCAGCAGCAAATCTCAAGATGCCGTTTTAAGACTGTATTAATAAGCATATTATTGCATTATTTTTACCCTTTATGTTCTCTGTTTGCCAAATCTCTAGTCATTGTACAGCCACATAGCCCCTGTAAGGCCATGTAACCTAAATCTTTAAAATGTTCAATTAGATAGTGACATGCACCTGCTTACATCTGGTAAACGCCAGGTGCCCCCCCCCGTTCTCCGTCATTTGTCACCTATACTAATAAGCAAAGAGAAGGGTATACGTAATTATTGATAAAACTTTGCTATAATACCTAGCTTTCTAACTACTCATATAAAACGTTCTTAAGGATATATATAATTTCAGATGTTGAATGCAAACCGTTCAGCTAGAAAAAAGTTTGAAATGTACTACAAAAGTAGAACCGCAATCATTTTCTTAGCAATGATTTCACAAAGTTGGGATTCTCATTATAATCCTGATTACTTCCAAATAAATATTTGGCAAATTTATGTCTCCTCGTGTATTTTGGCTTCCATCTAGTTACTGACTGAGCTAAAAAATTGGCTGCTGAAAATGAGAATAAATGATGCAGACATTTGAACAGTTCTATCCCAGTTTGTTGAAACGAGGTGCTCAACTGAGTCAGAAAAGTTTGCAAAAAGATCTGCAGAAGATTTATGCTGATTTGATATTGTCACAAAGGCGATCACATAATATCTGTACAGTTGTTTTCTTGTTTTTTACTAAAAACACAAAGAATTCCCAATGTATCATAAAGTATCAAATGGTGTTTACAGAAGTAAGTATGAAACACAATATAAAAAAAATAAACAGTAAGGCAAAAATTTAAAACAAAATTATGAAGGATTACTAAAATTTACGATGAACTGACATAAATATTCAAAGGCACTTCTCTCGGAAATGAACTGATGAAAATATGAAAGCCAGTTAATATTAATATTCTTCAAGGCCATTTTCAAGGTCATTCTTTCACTGTCCTAATTGAAACACAGAAGAAGCACATTTTCAACATTTTTCTCGCCACCGACTGTGCAATCACAAAAGGTCTCTGGACTCAACTTAAATATGCTCAGACAATTTTTAAAGTTTACTTCGACAGTAAGGAATTGGGTTGCTTTATGATTTGTAAAAAATGATAACACAACAATCTCATTTTGAAGGAGGTTAAAAAATCTTAGTTAAGTTCCCTTTATTTGAACTAATGTATTCTTGATTTCACAACCTTACAATACTATCATTGATGACCTTCTTATAAAAGGATGTTGAAAGGAATGTGAGTTGCCCTTTTGGTGGTAGTCTTTGCAAGAAAATCGGCTTGTCCGTCCCCAGCAACAACCGTATGTCCGCGACCAAATGCAAAAGCAACATAAATGTTTTTATCTTTTAGGTCTTTAAGTTGTCTTTGAATCTCAACGGTTATGTTATTATAAAAAGAAATCAATTTTAGAGTCTCCAAAGATGAAAGGGAATTGGTACAAATGAGATAGTCTAAAACAGCACTGTTAAGAGATCCATTTGATGGCGAAGTTTAAACACAAATTTTAGCTATAAAAACCTTGCATTCATCTCGAATTCTAAATTAAAAATTATCGCTTTCAAGATCACTTCTGAAGCTAAAAAATGCGAAACTAACTTTGCGATCAATTTTACTGTCATCAGTATAACAAGTTACAAGGAAATCATATGCATTATTCGTAAATTGAATAACATTAACAGCATTTCTTTCTGAGTGATGAGGAAGAATAGACAGAGGAAACACAATCATAATCAGAGGCAGAAGCAGCAGTGAGATTATACCTAAAGGCAAAGAATGAATCACTGAAGAATGGCAATTATATCTTTCGAAGAGTTTAAATATGTGTGACACAGCATTGAAAAAGTCCAAAGTATTGCTGATTAGTTGTAATGATGATATGCTTGTAATGATTAGTATTTTGCTGATTGATTTTAAAATTTGAGTTTGAATTTAATTTTTAATTTCAAATTTTCCGTCTTAATTTTAATTTCTCCTTGCTTTTCTTAAAGTTTTTTTCAATTAAACTCATTAATTAATACTGTTATTTGCCAGAAATTCATATTTAATCATTCGAAGATGTAACCAAGGTTGACTTATAGATAAGTAAATAACAAAAGTCTATATGTACATATTCATATTCCTTGCATATAATTAATTACGAGGAAAAAATGTTAAAACATTTGGTTGCTTTTTAAACTCAGAATATTAAAGATTAAAGGGAAAATGCTTGCAGAGAAAAAAATCTTCCGAGACATAACGGTTAGAAAATTTTTGTAAAATGTATTCTGTGGAAGCTATTATTGCCACAGTAAGTTTCAGAAATAAAAGAAAAAATTTCGATAGCTTTCATTTGCGTAAAAACATCAAAATTAGTTTTCTTGCTTTCATCTGATATTTACTTGAAGCTTTAAATGAAACAGCTTGGTAAGACGTTTTAAGAGGACAAAACTGATCGCAAATGTCTTTTTAATATTTAAAGTCGACTACAGTTTTATCAGATCATACCAGATGCGTTCAACATGACCAGATTTGAACATAACCAACATGACCATGATTCGTAAACGCTCATTTTAAAATACTGATTTTTGTATAACATTCCTGGCCCATTTAAGCAAACTATTTTTATCTTTAGAAGTGTCATGATGTCCAGTTAATTACATTTTACTACTGATGAATTTAAAGATACGCAAAACTATAAGTCTTGTTTAAATTCTGTTTATTTTTGTGTGATTTTACACCATCTTCTTAATGCTATAATTCATTGAATAAAGTAATTGATACCTGCATAGTAAATAAAATGACATGTAATTCCAAATTTTGATGTATAATTAATGCTTTTCAAGAAGCAAAAATATTCTGTCGAGGAAAAACTGACATAAATTTACATTTTTTACGGGTTAACTATATTTTTAATATTTCAAACTGACCCCCTTCCTTTCCACATACAGCAAATTAAGTCTATAGTTAAAGATTCAGAACGCTAATTATTAGCTTGGTATTATTTTTAGATGTATTTGAAGAAACTTATGTTTTTAAGATTGATTTCTAAATTACACACATGCACAATTTTAAATACTAATTTGAATTAGTATAACAACAGAGCTTATTAACAGCTTATATAATTTAGACATGAACTAATTAAAATAGTTAATAACTGAAAATGCATTTTGCTAATGGGTTTGATAATTTAAGAGCTGTTAGTTTTTTAAAACTTTCAATCAATACATGCTAAGCCAGTGATTCGCAAACTATGATACCAACATTTTTAAAGAAAATCAAACACAACTTTTCTTTTATTTCTTAAAATTTTAAACGAAAGGAGAAAGTAATTTCTTAATTCTGGTAACCAGGACTTCACGGTGCATTTTGTAAAATCTTTACCTGTGTAAGCATAGTTCTTTGATCAAAATGTACCTGTATTAGTAGTACTACACGCTAAAATTTGGAATTGAGCTTGAATTTGATATTTTAAGTTGGTGAACGTGGTCAAAGAGATATATCATACCATGGAGCCACATACTCTCACAGGAAAATGTCTTCGAGAATTCACAGTTTTTATCAATTTCCAAAAAATTTTTCTGATTAAAATTATGATTTTTCTCGTTAAAAATTTTATTTACCAAAATTTGCGTTTAATTTTTTTTGTTCTTTGATTTGCAAATAATTCTCAAAGAAAATATGTAACAGGTTTTAATAATATTTCATAATAAAAAATTATATATCTTACTTTATTTTATCAACTGTTTATAACGGTTCTCCATGAAAGATAATGTTAAGGCTCTAAAAATAGGATTATCAAAAATATGTTTGAGACATTTTAGTACAAGTATGCTTTTATAATGCCTTAAAAATAGCTCAGAAGTTTCCAGGTAATTAATAATAAACACCTATTTAAACTTCTCTGAAAAAGATTTATCTTAGGGGAGCATTAGATTTTAGTCATGTCCAATTGATATAATCTACGAAATGTTTGATGTGCCTATATCATTAACGACACTAAACTAGTCTAGCTTAACACTAAACTAGTCATTCGTCTAGTTTAATTGTTGTTCCTAGTAGAAAAGTATACATATTTCATGTTTTACCTCATCGAAATAATTTCACTAATTGCTGTTAAGTGCTTAATATTATAATTTGCGAACAGTCCCCTATTAGACGTCATCTTATCTTCCCCCTTTTATTGTCCTCGTAGTCCAGATTCAGTGTGTCCCCCGCTCGCCCCCGGTTGGGCCCGAGAGAGTGGCCCGCTTGAAACAGAGTATTCGATGTCCACGCCCTTTTTCGTAACCTGTCATAATTTTTCACTCACTATATAAACCCTGAGACCGACTCTATGGCCAAATTCATCATCGCAGGTCAGTTCCTGATAACCAGTCACCAGTTCCTTTCTCTGAAACAGCCATAATGATGAAAGTAAGTGAAAGTCAATTTCTTAAAAAGTCCAATCACTTTATTTTTAATTAAATGAAAAGTTTAAAAATCCGTTCTTATTATTAGGAATAATATGTTAAATAACCTGAGAAGAGTATTTTATCTTAGTCTATTGCTTATACGATCACTAAAAATTATCTTCCAATAATAAACTTTAATGAAACCTGTTAATTCTTAAAGAATCTAATAGGACTATAAAAATACATTATTACGCTTTATTTTAATAACGTTGACAGATTAAATGCTAATCTCTTCTCTAAACCTATATTTTAAAGCATGTAATAATTTAACAATATGTGTATTAGAAATCATATGATACAGTCTAATTAGGAACTAGTGAGAGATAATTAAACTAATATTTACGGATTAAAACTAGATTCCGTGTAACTAGTTATTCTAATGTTAAACTCGTATGAAATATTAAGTATAGGATGGAAAAGTAATTTTATTTGATTCCATAGAAAAAGGTATTGGAGGTCTAGATGTTGGGGCCATCACCATTTTAGTATTAAAGAGAAACGTTTGGGCCACTAGCGGCCGAGGAGTAAAACCCGCTGAAGACAAGTAGTTCGGTCCTGGGCTCGAATCCCGGCGAACGTGCTGACTGGCTTGGCGCTTTCGTGGGTTTCAATAAGTAAAAAAAAAAAAGCTTTTTTTTAATTGCAATAAGTTTAAATAACTGTGAATGGATAATGTCTCTTGGTATTTGAATATAAGTTTAATTTTATTGCATTATTTATCTGTAATATTTATAAAAGTAGCAATTTAATTTAATGGTAATCGATTTAATAAAATTTAGTTTGAAATATGACAACTTTATCACTAACGTAAATACGAATTGTTAAATACAATAATATTAGAGGCAAAAAACCTAAAAAAAAAAAAAAAAATAACAAGCCACTAATGAAAGTGTAGCTATCTAGCCGTTATTTTCGAATAATTTACATCAACGCATCTTAATAAATTTAATCCTCTTTCCTTTATATATGTTGTCGGCAATATCATACTTTATCCGACAATATCACAACTAGAAAAATTACCAGTCATGCAGATGCATTCCAAAATAATTTCAAATAGTAGGTTATTCCATCTTTGCCTTTTTAGAATTTAAATTTTGAAATAGTTATTTCATACTTCCATCATATATGCCCCTGGTGCCAGAGCTTTACAATTAATATCATCAATCATAGGTTTTTGCATTTGTAGCATCTAGACAAACCTACCTGATTAATGGTGCAAGTTTTAATTTGGAAAGCACATTTTTGAAAATATTTGTGAAAATAGAAAGGTTAATAAAACTGATTATCAAAGAGCCCCCGTTATAATCTGAACATAACATTCTTGTGTAATGAGCTATATTTTAATCTCAGCATTGCATACAAGCATTCATTCTACCACTAATACTTACCAGTTCTATCTCTTTATACAAGAGTGTTGAATACAATTCCTCTTAATTAAACTGTGTATTAAGCACTAAAATTGTATAAAACTCAGCTGGTTTACGCAATGTTTGAATTATAAGTCCTAAAACTCATAATTGAAGCTTATTATACGAGTGATTTGGAAGACTATTAAAAATCGCTGTTACGAATGCACACTAAAATATTAGAAATAAGTGTACCACAAACAATATAAAAATAGGTTTATTATGCGACATAATACATCAAAAGATGTAACATATCTAAAAATGTTTTTTCTATAGATCCTCCTCCTGCTTTTCCTAATTGGCTTAGCTTCAGCTCAGTATGGATATGGAGGGGACTCCGGGGGTTATCGTCCTGACGGTGTGAGAAACCGTTACTTCATTCTAGGTCACGGAAAGGTTGGCCCTATCTCTACTTCACTCGGAAGCAGTATCTACGGACCATCTGCAGGGTATGGCGACTACAGAGCTTCAGGAAACCTTGGATCTTCTGGATCATATCACAGTAGCCCTGCTGTATCTTCTTATTCAGCCCCGGTGAGTTACCGCCCAGTAGTCAGCCATGGTGGATACGGAGGTGGATACGGGGCCGGTAGTGGTTCTTCTTATGGTTCTGGATACGGAGGTGGTGCAGCCTATGGTTCCGGATATGGAAGCGGTGCCTCTCAGGGATCCGGATATGGAAGCGGTGCCTCTCAAGGATCCGGATACGGAAGTGGTGCTTCTCTTGGCTACGGGTCTAGTGGTGCTTACAGATCCCAAGGTAGTTCTGGATATGGCGGTGCATCTTTAGGACATAGTGTATATGGACCATCTGCAGGATATGGAGCTTCTGGTGGTTACGGATCTTCTGGTGGGTCCGCTGGGTACAGGTCCGTTGCTCCAGTTAGTCACACTTCTTACGCCCCGGCTGTCAGTCACCAAACCTATGCTCCAGCTGTTAGTCATGCCGCCCCCGTTTACAGATCTTATGCTGCTCCAGCTGCCAGCCATGGACTCTACGGACCCTCAGCAAATTATGGTTACAGTGCTCCAGCACATTCTTCATATGGTAGCCATGATGATTATGTGAGTATTTTACGAAATGTTTTATCTTTATTTATTACAAGCTCTAAAAATTATTTCATTTATTAATTTTTAGTGTTATCTTAGTAGAATAGGTGTCGATTGCATTTATAAAAGGAATATTCTAATTAACTCAAAATTCATTTCTCGGTATAGCTGATCTTGTTAAAAGAAATCGGTCCTCTTTAATGGTAAAATACATAAACAGCTTCATCTTCAGTATTAAATATACAGCAGACAATATGCTGAATTAAGAATAATAACAAACGCTGGTACTTGTATATCATTTGAAGAAAGGTGGAATTTTAGAAAACTTTGACACTGTATTTGTGCTCTTTAAACAAAATGTCATAAACTAAGAAGTGAACCTAATTTCGTAGATACTTATAATTTCATTACGATTGTTTCTTGAATAACGTGACTACAAATATATGATAATATAAATATAAATATTTCATTTGTATAAATATTAATATTTCATTCGATAAATAGGTTTTTAAATTATTTGAAGATTTTGACATTTTAAAAAACTTGCACACTAAACTCATCAGATAGAAATAGTTTTAAAAATACGTTAAGAATACCTGAATATTTTAATAGTGCCTAAAGTAGTATTATGATGTTACCACATTTAACTACCTGTGAGAATGCATAAATTTTCAGAGTAATGATCTTGTATTTCTCCTACCATTGAAGGTTTGTTATCCGAAACATGTTTCTTTGGAAACTGTAACCCGGCTAGCTAAGTGGGTCTTTTTGAGAACGTTTTGAAACTGAACCGAAACTGTTTAACTCAAACCTTTGGCTGTCGCACGCTTTCTATAAAAAACTGGTTTTGTCATGAGTGAAGCAATCAGATATCCCGAAAGAAAGAATTCTGTGAAATGTTTTCTTTCAAAGCACTGTTCAGGGTAGCTTCTAACTAATCAAATAGAAATCAATTAATTTCTTCAGAATAGGAATCAATTAATTCAATAGAATAATCGATAAATTAGTACATGAAATAAGTAGAAAATAAATGAATAATTACCTAAATTACGGGTTTTAATATGAACATATTTTAACTTGCTTAGATTTTCTTCATATTCTTTACTTTTTTGTAGCCCCACCAATGACCGAGTGGTTAAGACCGCTGAAGGCTGATAGTTCGTCCTGACCTCGAAACCCTTCGAACGGGATGGCTGCCTTATGGATTTTCATGGCTTATCCCATGTGTAATGTGACTAAGAGCCAATTTTCCTTAGAAAGTGTTCTACGAACATCTGTCCCCTTGGACAGATAATCCCCATGAGCTTTAACATATTTTTAGTCAAACAATACAAATAATACAGTACTTAACATGTATACAGTACTTAACAGTAAAACATGCTCAATTCATGGTTAAGGATTGTTTAAGATACCTGCATACACGTCAGGCCGAAAGAGCTTGTCCATATGAATTTACAAAAGTTATACGTGGATTTTGACAGCAAGAGACCTTAAGGCGCTTAATTCCCTGCTATATTAAAAAGTTAACCATATTTGCTAGTTGTAAGAATTAATCAAAATAGAAATAAATTAATTCAATAGAATAATCGATAAATTAGTACATGAAATAAGTAGAAAATAAATAAATAATTACCTAAAATATATGTACCTATAAACATAACATTTATTATGATAAACATGTTTGTTGAAATATAAAATTGCAATGGAAACTTTTTTTCCATTTATGTTACGAATTGCAAATACTCTTGAACAATGTAAGTTATCCTGTAGATGAAACATATTTAGTTATCCTTACGGGTCTTAATATGACAGTACTAATATGACACTTTAGTATGACATTGCTGTGAAAGATCATTTCTATGAGCCTCAAAATAATAAGTTTGCTATTTCAGTGGAGGTGGGGAAGACAGTATGGATGCATATATCAGATGAAAACAGTTACATCCATAACAGTCCTTTAATTACTCATTGTATTGTTATTTCGACTATGAAAACTACGATTTCTTACCTTACCTGCCTTAAATAATTTTTATTAATTCGGTTAGAAGATCCACAGAAAACCACCAGTCGTTTTCAAGTTTTATGGTACTTACCTTTTAGGAAAAGGAATATGCAGATATATTAGCTTTGATTATATATTTTTAGAATTTTCACATATCACATTCTTTTAGGAAAATTAATTTGCACCTTGCATTTAGGCTCAACCTACCCCTTACGATTTCGGCTACCTCACCCACAACGAGCATGGAGATCAGCTGTCCAGACAAGAGAGTGGAGATGGTCATGGAAATGTAAGAGGTAGCTACGGTTACAGAGACTCTTACGGACTCTACCGTCATGTTGATTATGTTGCCGATCACCATGGATTCAGAGCCAATGTAAGGACGAACGAGCCTGGAACCGCTCCTCAAGATCCCGCAGATGTTAAAATGCAGGTTGAACATGGTGGATATGGTGGAGGCTATGGAGGTGGTTATTAATTTACGAAGCTTTCAGATATTGGCAGTTTGAAATGGTAAGTTGTAGCAGAACTTTCTTCGTCTTGCATAAATATGTTAAGAAAGATAATAAAACTCTAAAGTAATGAGGTAATATTTAGCTCTTTTAATCGCACAAGCTTATAGCTTTGTATTTCTAAGGTTTCTTAAACTATTTAATTCAGTACTTATTAATTATTAATTACTATCACACTCTTTATAGTGCTGGGTATGCTTGTTATAGTACTGGATATACTCAACTTACTAGATAATTTATGAGTTTATAAACAATGCTGTTATTTAATATTTTTAAATAATACTCTCCATTTTGCTTCTATGTAAAATGAAGCATATGAAACCGTTTACTTTTAACGACATCCTCCATGCTCAGTTTTCTATTTAAAATGAAATAGTAGATGAGCTTTCTTTCAAGATTGTGAAGGTGCTCATGAATCCAAATTGCTCATTTCAATAAGGAATGATGCATAATGGTCTTTTTATAATTCCATACAAAAGAAACCTAGTTACATTAAATACGATCTATGAAGATGTCAAGGTTTCATAATCATAATCATCTCAACAAATTATCTTCGTTAATAGTAGAAATAAAAGACGAAAAAAATGCAATGCAGACTTCTTAAAATCATTTAATATTTATTTACGAAATATGGAAGAAGTTTGGTGGATATTTTGAACGCATGGTGAAGCTTTAATCAAACACTTATTCTTCCCAGATTTTTATAGCAATTACTACCTTTATGTGAAGAGACAACAACTTATTATACATAAATTCGACCAATTAAAAAAAACTTTCCTAATAAACCTATATATACTTTTAACTTACTAAAAGGCGTAAAGTGCAATGAATGCAGAGCTTACATTTTGTACTGAGATCATGTTTCATGTACATGTACGAAATTTGAAGTACTCAGTGTTAATGATAAAATAATGTATACCAGATAAAGCTAGATTCCATCAACGCTTAACGGCTAGCCTATCCACATATGCTGATAACAAATTAGTATGCAGGCTTGTCGGTTCTAAGCAATGAAATTCTCCGTCATATTGATTACATTGTAATTTAGAGTTATCATAAAGATGAACGAGTCCGAAATTGATTCTTAATTCTCCGCTGATCTAAATGATTAGTCAGTTGGTTATCAGTTTTAGCAAGATAAAAGAAAGCTTAAGCCATCATATGAAGGTCGAACTTGATTATCAGTTCAGTTTTGCTTTAATTTAATCAATATTTAAGAAAATAGGTGAAAATGCACAAATTTGTTCTGCACAGAATTATTTTGGCCTTTATTGCTTACAGAGGAATGTTTAATCCTTCCCTTATGAATTGGATATGGAAAGAGCAATCTAGAGAATTGTATTGAAACACACTGCTATTCGTACTAAACTCTAATGCGTAACAAATTGCGTTTTAAACAAAAAGCATTTTTGTTAGATTATATTAGTATATTTCTGTATTACATAATGCAATATAAAGTAAATAAGCTCAAATATAGAATGAGAGTAAATTTTTTGACAAAGTAATAAACATGCAATGATTCTGGATTACATTTGCGGTATATTTTGTTTATAAATCTATTTTTTCCCAGGTAACAAGAAGCTAAAGCCTCATGCTGGTGGTGAGATAGTCAAATGAGATGACAAGGAGAAACTGTGCATAGATTATAACAAACATGTGATTTACAGTTGCTGCACTGCCTTTCAGAACAATTAATTAATTATGGGTATTGTCACCTCTAAAGAACAAATGTTATTATTTAATGTTGCGTGTGTTGTATTCCTTGTATAAAGCTTTTAAAAATAAATATATGAAATATTTTATATTTTGTGTCTTATAAGTGTTTTATTATTTTCAATATGAGTTCGAATTTTGGAACATATATATACAGAATAAATGCAATGTATAAATTAGAAGATGGTATAATCCTTTAAATTAATTTTTCTGAATGTTTCACGGGTGATATAAACGTAACGTTTTTATTTAAAGGCCTTTATAGATTTTTTTAATGTTTTTTACCAAATGCATAGAAAAGAATTGATAAAAAACGTAGTAAGTAATAGTTGTAAATTCTGACAGTTGTAAAAATATATTCATTGATACACTATAGAGTTTCATGAGCCAAAAACAAGACTTAAGTTGTAGAGACATTAGGATTTTTAGAAGCAGGCAAGATGAAAAATTAGCAAACGCCTTCGCCAGGAATCGAACCACAGACCTCTGAAATACTGGCTCAGCGTGCTTACCACTAACACCACAAAGGCACGCTAGGAAGGTTGGAGAAATACCTCATATACTCCACCTTTTAAAGGGCGACTGGGGTTTTCAGGGGATCCATTCGCCAAATCCTGAGTAAGGAGAATCATCATCCAGCATTCTTTTTTTAGTTCGAGTGCCACTTGTAGAGACATTAAGATTTTTGGAAGCAGGCAAAATGAAAAATAAGCATACGCTTTCGCCGGGAATCGAACCATGGACCTCTGAAGTACAGGCTCAGCGTGCTTACCACTACACAACGAAGGCACGCTGGGAAGGCGCGAGAATTACCTTATAAGTTTACAACAAGAATTTAAACTTTCACAGAGTTAATCTTCTACAAAAGTATTCTTCATTCGCACAAATTTTTTAAAACTAAATATAGTCATATGCTTCATTCCTCACGTTATAGGGTAATATATATGAATTAAACTACACGTTTCTTTTCGGAGGTCATAACAAAAATGCCTTAAAGATCATAGCATTCAAAATTATTAAAACAAATCTGATGCTAGATTTAATTTTTTTCTAATCGTATGATACAAAAAAATGTGAAGTGGGTAGAGAATTAACAGAAACGTAAGAGGTAGAAATAGATGCATTTAAATTTGAAATCTATTTACTGATAACTAACTATTTTAAATTCAATTTTATAGCATGCTGAGTATATTTTTGTATTCATTTCTAATTCTATATCTTCTACTTAATTATTTTGTGTGTTGGGCATTAGTTTAAATTTCATATTGTGACATATGCATTCGGAAGTAAATTATTCAATAAAGATGGATCCAAACTCATGCAGTTTAAACGTTAACTTTTGAAAAACCATGCCAACAAAAGCTTATGTCTGTAAATTTCAGCTTTTATTAGGAAATGCGATCAAATTCAAAGATATATGCCTAAATTTAAGCAGTCATAAACTTACTTGGATGAAGCAATATAGGCCTAAAACATTCAAATGTTAAATGATTAAAATCTTAGAATTCTGCCATGAGGTTAAAAACTTTAATTTGGGGCAAATTACAATACGGATATTCAATTCATAATAATCAAAACTGATGTAAATTAAGCTCATTCCATAATAAATATTTTTCATCCGGGACATAAATTTGGAAACTGTAATAAGAGATAATTACTAGAATTTTGCTTAATTATTCTGTGAAATTTATGTTAACCTGAAATAAAGGAATAAAATTTAAATGAAATACTTAAAAAAATGAAATACTTAAATTATAATTATTATTAAATCCATAGATATTTATGAAAAGTGTTCGAAATCGTGTTTATAAACATTTACAGATACTTGCTATACTCATTTGTCAATTTAATATTCAGGATGAAGAGAAAAATGAGGTACTTGGTCGATCTGAACAACTTAGGAGCAGCGCCGAATTAAGTAAAGAATACAAGAAATTAGTTACAAAAAGAGTTATAACAAGCCAAAGAAAAGTTAACTCTGAATTAATCAGCTTAATACTTTACATGCCTGTTTTACGCATTTTAGAAAATTGAAATCAGCGTTTTTAGTATCTAATTAGTCCGAAGAGGATTTGTTCCTGAAGGACTATTGTTTTCGTTTTGCGATTTTGCTTTGAATCACTATAAATGTCCGTTTCACTTTGAAAACTGTTGCCACCAAATATTGGAATCCTGCATTATATTTGAACAAATTAAATAATGAAAAATCTGCATAAATGTATGTGTATTTCTCGCATTGTGATAAAACAACGGTACATAGAGTCATCGAATTTTGAATTGACGTAATCCTACTGCGAATATGGGCATCTGAAAGCCCAAATTTGGAATTAGTTTTATTATCGATTTCATATTTTGTAAAACTTTAACGAATTTTTGATTAACAAACTCAACGATTCGAAGGCGAGCAATGGCAACAAACTACGGGGGGGGGAAACCCTTTTTATATCTAGCTCGCGGAACTGTGTATCGGAAATTCTAAAAATAGGCTCATTTTAAAGTTATTTTGCGACATTGCAATTTATGGTTTAAGTGCGAAGAACATGATCTTTAATAAATAAAGATAAAGCACAAAACGTTTAAAAAAAAAAATATTTCGACGTAATTTAAAATCTGAAACCTTTCAGTTTTTTTTTAATTTTTAATTTATTTTCTCCTAATATAGAGAGTTATATTATAGGGTATTTCTCCCGCCTTTTTGGCGTGCCTTCGTAGCGTGGTGGTCTGCACGCTGGGCGCGCATTCTAGAGGTCCGTGGTTCGATTCCCGGCGAAGGCATTGCTATTTTTGATCTCTCCTGCTTAAAAAAAATTCATATCTGTATGTTCAAATTAGTTGATGAAAAAAAAACAGACTAAGTGGAATTTTATGTTATAGAAGCTCAAACTAAATTAACAATAGACAATCAAATAACGTTATTTCATTCTTATAATTGTTGTAGTTTATTTTCATAGTATTTTGAACAAAGCTTGTTTTGATTTTTACTCCTATGTACGAAATAAAGTAAGTACTATAATCGCAAAAAATTTTGGGTATCACATTTCAACAAAAATGTCCATTTTGACCGCTTTCGAACCCATTCGAACGATGTTTTTGAGTGACATGTGGCCGTACGGACAGAATAAAGGAATTGTTTTTTCAAAAATGCATTGTAAAATGGATTCAAAAGACGTAAGAGTTTTTTTTTTTTTTTTTTTTTCTGTGTGACATCTGTACGTGCGTACGCACCGTATGTATGTATCTCGCACGTTTCCAAAACGAGGAGATTTAGAACGTCAAAAATTTTGTATAACTGACTACTATAATATGCAATTGTGCACCTCTCTATTTGGTAGCAATCGACCTCATTAAACGTACATATATTTACTCTAAAAGTTATTGTGCATTTTGAAAAGTGTAAAGTGTAATTTTTGCTTTAAAAGTTGTTGAATTAAGTTGTTTTTATGTTCCGATTAAGATTTTTATGCATTTAGTCAATCTACGTGCAATAGTTGTTTAATTATCAAGAATTTAATAGTTTACGTGGTGCTAAGGCTAACGAGGCCGCCATTTGTTTACATTTGAAGCTCTTAGTAGAGTATCGAATTAGTTCAGTTTGTACACGAACTTCAATATCTTTTTGTTGAGTTGGATCAAAAGTAAACTTTCATTTTGTGCACCGCAAAATCTGTCTTCCTGGCTGGTTAAATTGCTTGTTTTCGAGTACAGAATCTAATTTTAACTGTAGACCTTCTTTATTTTATTTGTTTTACCTGTATTTGGGTTTTATTTATTTTTTTATTATTATTACAATTTTTAATGAAGATGCTTTGAGTTTTTTTTTTATGTATTTTTGCCTTGGAGCAAAGTGGGAACTGCATTTAATTGAATGACAAACGTATGAATTTCGAAGAAATAAGTTTAAGCCAAATGGAGCAAATAAATGTGTGCAGTTTAATTATTTATATAATCTTGATGCGGCCAATTGCAACCAAAAAGGGAGGTACACAACTACATGCTAGAGCAGTTCTATGTACAAAACTTCAAAGTTCTGGGGCTAATTGCTTTTGAGTCATGTGAGATTCGTATGTACGTGCATATGTATGTATGTATTTCGTAACAGACGTCACGAAAAAATCTCTTCTGAATCCATTTTAAATCAATTTTAGAATCCATTTTGGAAAAAGGTTCTCTTGATTCTACCCTTAGATACAGATGTCACGCACAAATATCGTTAAATTGCATTCGATAACCGTCAAAATTCATATTTTGTTTGAAATATGATACCCGGAATTTTTCGTGATTACAATACTTCCTTTACTCCGTACAAGGAAGTAAACATTTAAATAAAATGATAGATAGTTATATAATTGTTCACTTTAATATTGAAACAGAGTAGAATTCTAATCATCTGGAGCTTATTTTTTCTGAAAAATACATGTACCCAATCTGAGTCATTAAAATTTAAGCTCGTTGTTATTGCAGTTACCTATTTTTGATTTTTTCGGGATTTATTTAGTACCAAAATATAAAAGAATATAATGTGTACTTCTAATGCAATTTCCTGAAACAAAGCAAATGCATCTTTCACTATTTGCCTACAGCTGATCTAAATCGTAAAATTTCGATTCCGCACGTTAGAACATGGCCCTTTTGGAACTGTTTATAAGAAATATGGATTTACCAATAGTGATCATTGTGTCTTCAGATCATTAAATATTAGAATGTCCATTAACGAAACAATACCATATTAAATTTCCTGTAAATTCCATATTAAAGTTTTCCTGTTTCCTACCATTCCTTTCAAAAGATTCCTTACTAAGCAAAGCCATCTCTTGTTCTTAGTTTTAGCTAAGAAAGCGCAAATTTCCCAAAAATACTATGGGAACAATTTTTTTTTTTCATTTTAATGTAAAAACCTCTCCTTGTATTACATACCTGGATTTGTGTACTTTTGATATATTGACTTAATTTCTTTGACATATTTTAATATACACGTATATATACGTTCTTACAGATATCACAAAAAATATTTTAGGCCGTATATAAACGTCCTTGCCGCTTAGAGGGTTAAATATCTCTATACGTAAATCTACTGAAGGGAATAACTT